TGGCCACAGCAGACCCGGCTGTTCCGGGCCTGGCCGCTCCCAGCCTGGCAGTCGCTGCTCCAGGTCTGGTCACTGCTGCTCCCAACCTAGTTGCTCTGGACTTGGCTGTTGCTGCTACAGGCCTGGCCACACCCGACCCAGCTGCTCTGGGCCCGGTTGCTCCGGGCCTGGCCGCTCCCAGCCTGACAGCCGCTGCTCCTAGCCTGGCTGCTCCCAGCCTGGCAGCACTGCTCCGGGCCTGGCTGCACCAGACTCGGCTGTTCCGGGCCTGGCCGCTCCCAGCCTGGCAGTCGCTGCTCCGGGTCTGGTCACTGCCGCTCCCGACCTAGTTGCTCTGGACTTGACTGTTGTTGCTACAGGCCTGGCCACACCCGACCCAGCTGCTCTGGGCCCGGTTGCTCCGGGCCCGGCCGCTCCGGGCCTGGCTGCTCCCAGCCTGTCAGCCGCTGCTCCTGGCCTGGCCGCACCAGACCCGGCTGCTCCGGGCCTGGCCGCTCCCAGCCTGGCAGCCGCTGCTCCGAGCCTGGCCACTCCCAGCCTGGCAGCCACTGCTCCGGGCCTGGCCGCACCAGACCCGGCTGCCCCGGGCCTGGCTGCTCCCAGCCTGGCAGTCGCTGCTCCAGGTCTGGTCACTGCCGCTCCCGACCTAGTTGCTCTGGACTTGGCTGTTACTGCTACAGGCCTGGCCACACCCGACCCAGCTGCTCTGGGCCCGGTTGCTCCGGGCCCAGCCGTTCGGGGCCTGGCTGCTCCCAGCCTGTCAGCCGCTGCTCCGGGCCTGGCCGCACCGGACCTGGTTGCTCCGGGCCTGGCCGCTCCCAGCCTGGCAGCCGCTGCTCCTAGCCTGGCTGCTCCCAGCCTGGCAGCCACTGCTCCGGGCCTGACCGCTCCCAGCCTGGCAGTTGCTGCTCCGGGCCTGGCCGCACCAGACCCGGCTGCTCTGGGCCCGGTTGCCCCGGGCCCGGGTGCTCCGAGCCTGGCCGCACCCGGGCTGGATGCTTTGGGCTTGGTTTCTGCTGTTCTGGGCCTGGCTGCTCCCAACCCGGCTGCTCTGGGCCCGGCCACTCCGGGTCTGGGTGTTCCTGGACTGGCCACCCTGGGCTTGGCCGCCTCTGCCTCAGGCCTGGCTGCCACTGCCCCAGGTCTGGCTGCTCCAGTGCTGGCCATTGATGCTCTGGTTCTGGCTGCTGCTGCTCTGGGGCCTGGCCACTGCTGCTCCGGGCCCGGCTGCCACTGCCTTGTGCCTGGCCACTCTAGGCCTGGTCGCCGCTGTTCCAACATTCTGTCCCTTTTTCTTTCTTTCTTTCTTTCTTTCTTTCTTTCTTTCTTTCTTTCTTTCTTTCTTTCTTTCTTTCGCCGCTGTTCCAACATTCTGTCCCTTTTTCTTTCTTTCTTTCTTTCTTTCTTTCTTTCTTTCTTTCTTTCTTTCTTTCTTTCTTTCTTTCTTTCTTTCGCCGCTGTTCCAACATTCTGTCCCTTTTTCTTTCTTTCTTTCTTTCTTTCTTTCTTTCTTTCTTTTTTTTTTTTTTTTTTTTTAAAAAAATGCATTTATGTTGCAATGTTGGCTGGTGAGTTGAGTTCTGACTTAGTCTTTGATTTTTCAAGATATTCTTTGCATTCTTTCTTAAGTAATTTTACTATCATTTGCTCTCACTTGATTTCTTCACATTGAGAACTTCTATGGTTTCTTCCTCCCGGTCCTGGAATCTCAGCAGGTTGGCCTGTGGCACCCCTTTGTTCTCCGGGGGCTCCTGCGCTGCTTCAGCCTGTCGCCAGGGTTGGCGCCGCCCAGGAAGCATCCCTGGTCCTTGGCTCAGTTGCCTGCGCTCAGCGGTCGACGGCTCAGGGGCACCCCCCCCCCCCCCCCCCCCCCCGCCTGGGGGCCCCGTTGCCCGGCTCCTTGCTGGTGCCCGGCTGGCCGGTGTCCAGCGGGGGCTCCTGCTCCTAGTCGCGATCCTCCAGTCTGGAGCTTTCTTTCTCTCTCCTGATAGGGGAGTCCAGGATCAGAGTCAACAGACTGTCCTCTGCGCGCAGTGTGCGCGATTCCGGGGGCTTGGCCTTTCGCCGTGCTCCCAGGACTCCACCTCACAGCCCCGTCTCCCCCTGCCCAGCCTGGGTCCCCAGGGACTGGCCCAGACTGGGAGTTCGGGGCGGTCAGGTCTGAGGCTCAGCACAGCCGAAGGCTTTGTTTCTTCTGGCTAGGGTAATCCAGCATCAGAGTCAACATTCAGTCCTCTGCGCACAAAGCGCGCGACTCCGGGGGCCCCCGCCTTTCGCGCCGTCCCCGGGATTTCGCCTCACAGCCCAGTCTCCCTGTGCCTGGGCCTGGGTCCCCAGGGACTGGCCCAGACCGGGAGTTCGGGGCGCTCCGTTCTGAGGCTCAACGCCGCCAGAGGCTTTGTTTCTTCCGGCTAGGGTAATCCAGCATCAGAGTCTACATTCAGTCCTCTGCGCGCAAAGTGCGCGCGACTCCAGGACCCCCCCGCCTTTCGTTTTTCCCCTGGGATTCAGCCTCCCAGCCCCGTCTCCCCCTGCTGGAGCCTGGGTCCCCAGAATCTGGCCCATAATGGGGCTCAGTGCTGCCAGGGGTTCAGCCCAGGCTGGGGGTTTTATTTCCTTCCTGCTAGGAACGCCAGGCAGCACCCAGCCCTCTCCTACAGCATGTCTCCGTACCTTAGGCTTTTTTTTCAGCTCCTCTGATTTTCCTTCTGGTTTTCTCCCACCTTCCTATTGTAGAGTTTTCAGTCAGTCGACTACCTGTAGGTCTGGGTAATGTCCACTCTACATTTTAGTTGTATTCCATTGAAATTGTTGTGAGCTGCTGCGGTTAGGTGTCTACCCGAGCAGCCATCTTGGATCCTCCTTGATTAATTGTTTCTTGATTAAAAACAATTGAATTGACATTTTGGTTTCCAATGAAGTATATTTCTACTTTGTTATAAATAAAATAAAACTAATGGTTAGAAATTTTAAATGATCAAGGAGGCCAAATTCAGTCTCTTTAGGCCATGGATATTCATTATTGTGTTTTATAATAAACTAGAGGCCCGGTGCACAAAATTCGTGCATGGGGGGGGGTGTCTCTCAGCCCAGCCTGCAGCCTTTCCAATCTGGGACCCCTCAAGGGATGTCCGAACACCGGGATTGGACCTAAACGGGCAGTCAGACATCCCTCTCACAATCCAGGACTGCTGGCTCCCAACTGCTCACCTGCCTGCCTTCCTGATTTCCCCTAACCACTTTTGCCTGTCAGCCTGATCACCCTAACCACTCCCATGCCAGCCTGATTGATGCCTAACTGCTCCCCTGCCAGCATATTTGTCTCCAACTTCCCTCCTCTGCTGGCCTGGTCATTCCTAACTGCTCTCCCCTGCAGGGTTGATCGTCTCCAACTGACCCTCCCTTGCAGGTTCTTCCACACAATTTTTTTTAAAGATGCAAATAGGAGATCAAATAATTTGGGGTCAGAGGACCTTGAAGTCTCAAGAACTGGGTTGGTTCAGACTAAGCTATTTACTAATAGGATAACCTTGGGCAAGTTATAGATTTTTCTTGGCCATAATTTCTCCATCCATACAAAATGAGAATAATACCAATGTTACAAGGTTGCTGTAGGATTAAATAATACACATGAAAAATACCTTGTTTGTTTTAAAGTGCTATACTAGTGTTGATTACAATTTTTAGCAAACAAGGCTTAATAAATCTAAAAAGTAATAATTTATTTTAAAAAATATATTTTTATTGATTTCAGAGAGGAAGGGAAAGGGAGAGATATAGCAACATCAATAATGAGAATCATTGACCAGCTGCCTCCTGTACACCCCTCACTATGGATTGACTGAAATCAAACCAGAGACCCTTTAGTCCATAGGCTGATGCTCTATCCACTGAGCCAAACCAGCTAGGGTGATAATTTGATTTTTATGAACTATAAAAAATTATTTTCAAATCTCATGGTTTTGTTTTTTTCCTGGAATTTAAATGGTAAACTATGTTTCTAATGTTTCATGCAAAATATATTTCTTAAGTTCTTTTGAACTTGTCAAAATATGCTCATGCCTCAGCAGCTTCTCACTTTCTCAATGCTTGGATGTCATATTTCAATTGTGATTATTTTTTTTGTAACTCATATTTACTTTTTCATTTTATTAATAAAAAACAGAAAACTTTTTTTAAATTATAGGCTTTACAACCAAATGTAACTAACTTGGAATTCTCCTCAGAAAAAGGCATGTCATCGGGTTGTTGTATTATGTAAGAAAAAAAGAAACTACTAAAAAATTACTGTCTGGAAAACTGTTGGTTTAAATTGTCTTTAGGTTTCCTGGTTGCTGAATTTATTTAGGATTTAGAGTATTGATAATTCATGGTTTTTCAAGTTGCAAATCTGGTCACTACCACTTTACAATGGTTTTGTAATTAAGAAGCTGCATAATTTGAATTTGATTGTGATTTGGCCCCTATGAGCATCATCAAATATCCAATGACTACATAAAATTCAGATTATAAAACCTTACTTTCTGCTCAATATTTTTGAGAGGACATTGTTCCTTTGAGGCAGTTCTTTCGTGGAGTTCCCATGATCATCATAGTTGTTTCTGATCATAGAAAATATTTAATTTTATTACTAAGAATTATGGAAAAATTTTATAAACCCACTTTACTTCTTAGTCCTTAAGTTTTCCCCGAATTCTATGTTGGCCCCTCCATATTTTCTTATAGGCCTGATAAAATAATTTAGGTGTAGAGTAGAAAAGTAACAAAATTCTATGGAACATTTCAAAATTGTTAAAAAAAGAAAAATCCTCAGGGGTTCTGCTTTTTATCTCCTGAAGTCAGTGTTAACCATTGCTTCAGGGAAATTTGTCTTCATTCACCATGAGGGATCTGTGTTCCAGCACAACAAATGAGAATAAAGCTTTTGATGCAAATTGTGAATCTAGAAAATTGTGGTGGTATGAAAAACTTGTTTGTTTACAAGAGATTTTCACTTTCACCTGGCAAATGATGGACTTGATTCCTCTGTCTCACAGCTGGCATTTCATTCCTAAAGCCAAGTGCTGCCTCAGGAGTTCTGGTAGGAAGTCCTAAAGAAAAGGAATAAAAAACTTTTGGCATCTAATTTCTTAGTCCAACTGAACCAAGAATTTTTACTTTAGAGGCAAATTTTGCGGTAACTATTTAGAAGGGTTTCTGTTTTATGCCTTTATCTGTGTATTTTGGTACTGCTCCAACAGAAGACTGCTTAAAGGGAAAAAGATTTCTTCTTTGGAGAGTACAGTGGAGTTCTAGATGCATAGAATCACACAGAAGGAGCATTCAGAACAAGCTCTAAGAACTAGTTATAACTCATATTTGAGAATAGATTTGGTTACTTCCTTCTTAGTATTTAAGACATTCGTCCTCGATATTTTAATAAATATCTTTATTAAAGATGCCTAAATAAATATATTTTATAAAGATAAATATCACCCTAACCCTCAGCTGACTTGATAGCATAAGAAGTCTATTGTATATTGTGGATGGTGAGAATCATGAGGTTGGATGGCTGTATAGGTAGCAACAGTATTAGAATGCCAATCTAGAAAAAGATATTCATTTGAGCAAATGATTTTTAAAGACACAGCTTCAAGGAAGACAAAGTATAAAAATTCACACCTGTGAACAGACATAATCCTACAGTTGAAGGCTTCATTAACTTTCAACTCTTAGTCCAAAGGAAAAGGTACTGTTTCCTTTAGGGTAGTGGTTCTCAACCTTTCTAATGCTGCAACCCTTTAGTACAGTTCCTCATGTTGTGGTGACCCCCAACCATAAAATTATTTTTGTGGCTACTTTATAACTGTTATTTTGCTACTGTTATGAATTGTAATGTAAATATCTGTGTTTTCCGGTGGTCTTAGGTGACCCTGCTAGCAGTTCTCAACCCATAGGCTGAGAATCACTGCTGTAGAGCCTTGACTGCTGTAGAGAATTTGACAACAGATAAATGCTTTTTTTTTTAAAGGAATATTTAATGCAAAATTGCAACATTGGGTTTCACTAAAAGTTCAATGACACTAAAAGATACTGTAGTCACTAAGATTGCCTCTATGAACAAAAACACAAAGATAAGGGGGGCTTCACAAACAGGAATTTGACAACAGATAAATGCTTTCTTTTAAGAATAGTTAATGCAAATTTGCAACACACACACATATATATATATACATATTGATCTGTCATTCATAAGTTATTTAAATATTTTAATTGTTTATATTGTCATTCTTTTCTACCTCCAGAGATAAGCTTCATGAGTTTTGTAAATGACTGTTAAAAGTCTTAAATTTGCTTTTCCCCCCCATAGTTATACTTTAGTTGTATGAGAATGGGCTAAAAAGTCTGCATTTACCTCACGTTTTGCCTGATAATCTAGATTGGATGCAGCAAGTCCTTTAACAATAGCAAGAAACCGAAACCAATTTGGGTCAGTGGTAGAGCATCGGTCTGCGTACTGAAAGGTCCCAGAATCGATACCAGCCAAGGGCATGTACATTGGTTGTGGGCACATCCCCGGTAGGGGGTGTGCAAGAGGCAGCTGGCCGATGTTTGTCTCTCATCGACGTTTCTAACTCTCTCTCCCTCTCCCTTCCTCTCTAAAAAATCAATAAAATATATTTTAAAAAAAACAATAGCAAGAGATTGTAGAATGTAGTTTTATGTGTATGTGTTGTTATGGTATTCTGGAAATAGTACTGGACACATTCTCCTCTGTGGACTTAAAAAGACCCTTCATATACACTTATTTTTTTCTTTTTCATGGGAAATGAATGACATAAACAAATATTGAGTATTTTCAATATTAAATAAGATAAATTAAGCTCTGTTGGCACTTTCCCCAGAAAAATATACTTCACATATTATAACAAATATATAATGACTAAAAACCTTTAAAAGAAAAAGATCTTTTAATTCCTCAATTAAGGTTATTTATAATTTCAAGTTGCTACAAAAGAAGAGCAGAACCTAGCTAGTAAACCAGTCTCAAGCCACTGAAGTGATCAATGAATTTCATTAGTCAATTATTACTGTCCCAACTAACAGAATACTAGTATAAATGTATTCGAAATCTTTCTGCTTTGGAGCAATCTAGTTGATTGCATGCAAATTCCTCTGAGTCTGCCAAAAAATAAAAAATAAAAATGTGATGGTGGTGTTTCCAGAACTGCTCTAACATTAATAAAAGAAGAACCATCAATCCTGGCTGGGTAGATCAGTTGGTCAGAGCATTTTCTCAATACCTCAAGGCTACAGGTTCAATCTTCCATCAGGACACATACAAGAAGCAGTCAATGAATGCATCAATAAGTGGAACAACAAGTCAATGTTTCTCTCTCTCCCTCTAAAAAAATCAATAATAAAAAAAAGAATATCATAGGCAGAGAGGGCTAAAAGCAGGATGTCTAACTAGAAACCACAGCAATTACCATAATTATGCAATACTACAAGACTTATCCCTGAGATTAAAAATAAGGAAAAGGTGTTTGCTAACACCACATCTATTCAACATTGTATTGGAAGTTCTAGCGAATTTCTTCCTTTAGAAAGAAGAAATAGAACTGTCATTTTAATAGGGAGTATACTCAGATGCATAGATATAATCAGATGCAAAAGAATTTATAATTTATTGGAGTTAAATAAATTTATCAAATTTTCTAGATTCAATTTAATATATAAAAATTAAGATGGACCTGGAAAACATTGCTAAATATAATAAGCCAGTCAGAAAAGGACAAGTATCATATGATTTCATTCATATGTAGAATTTATGAACAAACTGAACTAACAAGCAAAATAGAGAAAGACTCAGAGAGAGCAGGCAGACATCTCTGGTGTGGAGAGGCTTAAGGGGTGGAGGGACTGAGCAAAAACAAAAGAGAGAAACAAATGCATTGATTATACATTATGTCATAGACTAACCTATGCATTACCTATGGGGAATGTTTCACTCATTGAAGGAACACATAGGTGAACCTAGTGTGTGGAATATTAGTAATCTTCTGTGAAATATATTAAAAAAAATACCATTAAAATGTGGAAAAAATAATTGTATTTTTATATTCTACCCAAAAACAGTAAGAAAAAGAAATTTGAAAATTTTCAATATAAAAAAATTAAATACAAAGGATTAAATCCAATGAAAGGTGTGCAAAACCTCTACAAAGAAGACTAAAAATATTTCTGAATGTAAAGAAGAGATAAATGGAGATATACCAAGTAGAAAATTCAAGATTATTAAATGCTAATTTTGCACAATTAAGTTGTAGATCCAATAAAATTGCAATCACTATCTAAACATATTTGTGTATGTGCAAACTAATTGTTTCAAAAAGTTAACACAAAAGACTGAGAAGAACTATAACACTCTTGGAAAAGAACCACAAAAAACAAAATTGAAAATCCTCTACTATCAAAGAGACAAAGGGAGAGGGAGGGAGAGATAGAAGCATCAATGAAGAGAGAGAAGCATCTATCAACTGCCTCCTGCACACTCTCTGCTGGGGATGGAGCCTGCAACCAGGGCATTTGCCCTGACCAGGAATTGAATCATGACTTAATGGTCAATGCTCAACTAGCAAGCCACACTGGACAGGTTAAAATGTCTTTAAAAGTATTGCACTAATATCTCTCATGTTAATTTTTTAAGAGACCAAAAATATTTTTACAAAAATGTAGTTCTATTTAATTTTGGAATCAAATTTGCTTATGGTTAGTTACAGAAACTGACTTACCCTTTTACTAAAATAACAAATCTTACATTATAAGAATTTAGAAAATAAAGCAGTAGATTATGGCAGCGAGTTAGCAGAGCCTGAAAATTACCACTCATGTTTACCTGAAGTGGGAGACTTGCAGCGTTCAAGATCCAGGGGAACTGGATTGTCATTCAGCTCAGTTAAACCTGAAAATAAAATGATAAAAAATAAGGTAAAATTTGCTAATACTTTGTAGATAATTCTTATTTTTATAAGTTTTAAAGTTTTCCCTGTGAAAACTACTTTTCTATGTTCATTTATGATAATTTGTGTTAATCTTTTTAAGTTAAAATATAGTTGGCATAAAATACTAGTTTCAAGTAATTGACATTTATATATCTTACAATGTGATCACCACACTAAGTCTAGTAACCATCCATCATTGTGCCAATTTATTAGACTATTATGGACTATATTTCCCCTCTGCCTTTTTCATCCATTCCTCTACTATCCTTTTTGGTAACAACCATTAATTTGTTCTTTATTTCTATTTTATTTTGTTTCTTCATTTGTTTTAATTTTTAAAAATTCAACATATACATGAAATTAGGTGCTATTTGTCTTTCTCTGACTTATTTCATGTATTATAATATCCTTTAGGTCCATCCATTTTGTTGCAAATGGCAGGATTTCTTTTTTTATTATTGAGTAATACTCCATTGTATATATGCCACATCTTCATCCATTCATTTATCACTGGACACCTAGGTTGCTTCCATATGTTATCTGGGTCCAGGTGCATGAAATTCATCACTCAGAGGGGTCCCTCAGCCTGGCCTGTGCCCTCTTGCAGACCTATGGGAGCGGGCCTAAGCCATCAGTCGGACATCCCTAGTGCAGAGGCAGCTTCTGCATTGTGTGGGATATGGTCAAAACTTGCTCTCCGATATCCCTCGAGGAGTCCCAGATTGCAAGAGGGTGCAGGCCAGGCCGAGTGACCCCACTGGTATATGATCAGGGTTGGGGAGGGACATGGTAGGGAATGCGGGAGGGCTCCAGGGTATGTCAGGCCCATCTCATTCAGTCCTGATCAGCTGGACCCAGCAGCAAACTAACCTACCAGTCAGAGCATCGGTCCCCTGGTGGTCAACACATGTCATAGTGAGCAGTTGAGCAGCCTTAGCATATTATTAGCAAAATATGCTAATGTAATTAGTATATTAAGTGGCCAGATGACTGGACACTTAGCATATTAGGCTTTTATTATATAAGATTATAAGTATGCTGCAATGAACAGAGGAATGCATATATATTTTAAAGGTATTGTTTTTATTTCCTTCAGATAAAGGTCCAGAGTGGAATTGCTGGGTTGTATAGTGGGTCTATTTTTACATTTTGAAAAGTCTCCATAATGTTTTACATAGTGGCTATATTCATTTGCAGTTCCACCAATATGTACAAGGGTTTCCCCCACACACACCCTCGTTAATACTTATTTGTTGACTTTTTTCTAAAAGCCATTCTAATAGGTTTGACGTAATCTCTCATTCTGATTTTGATTTGCATTTACTTGATGATGAATGATATTTTTTCATGTCCTTCAGCTATCTGTAGGTTTTCTTTAAAGAAAGGTCTCTTCATGTCCTCTGCCCATTTATTGATCAGATTGGTTTTGTTATTGCTATTGCTTCTGTTATTGAACCATATGAATGAGTTCCTTATACTTTTGGATTTCCATCCTTTATTGGATATATGGTTCCTTCCTTTACTAAAGCTTTTTATTTTGATGAAGTTCCATTTTGTTTTTGCTTTTGTTTCTCTTGCTCAGGAGGATATATTAAAAAAGGAATTAATAAGACAAAGTCAAGTGGTTTTCTATCTGCATTGTCCTCTAGGAATTTTATGGTTTCAAGTCTTACATTTAAGTCTTTAATCTATTTTGAGTTTATTTTTATATATAATGTAAGAGTGGTCCAGTTTCATTCTTTTGGATGTATCTTTCCACTCCCCCCCAGCACCACTTATTGAGGACACTATTTCTCCACTGTATATTTTTGTCTCTTCTGTAATAGATTCATTGGCCCTACAGGTGGAAGTTTTCTTTTGGTCTCTCTCTTCAGTTCCACTGATTTATGTGTCTATTTTTTTTCCATTACCATGCTTTTTATTATTATTATAGCTTTGTAGTATAGTTTGAAATCACAAAGTGTGATATCTCCATCTCTGTTATTGTTTCTTAACATTGCTTTGGCTATTTGTTTGTGTGTGTGATTCCATATGAAGTTTAGATTACTTCTTCCAGTTCTGAGAAGAATGCCATTGGAATTTTTATAGAGATTTTACTGAATCTGTTGGTTGCTTTTGGTATTATGGTCATTTTAACAACATTAATATTTCTAATCCATGAACCAGGTATATCATTCAATTTATTTGTGTCCTTTTCAATTTATTTTTTTGCACCAGAGTTTAGGACTTTAAATTTGTCCCATAGCTGCTGAAGCAAAATTATGATAAAACATTCTGCTTCCCTCTATACCCCAACACACACACACACACACACACACACACACACACACACACACACACACACTGTTTGTAGGAAAAAATGGTTTTGTATACGGAAAGAAACAATATAAATTCAAAACTTATAGGTAAATGTTAGCTCTATTATTTATCTCTTTAAAAAGTTTATATGAATATCCAGTCAAAACCAACAGTGTATCTCCTTTGAAATGTTATCTACATGAATTTCCAAGTAGACCACAGGACTGTATATTGTCTTGGAATGTCCTTTGAAGGCTCTGTCATTGATCAGGTAACAGAGTAAAAACACCAGAGTCCTTTCTTTTTCAAATGGAAAATGGAAAGACAGGAATAGAAGAAACTATTCAAACTTCGTCTTCTTTCCTGTGGCTTATAGTTTCCTTCTCTTCTGCCTCCTTGGATGCTTCCTTGACCTCCAAAACCTCCTCAGCCTCTGCCACCAAATCCATCTCGGCCTCTGCTACCGCCTCTGCCTCTAAAGCAACTTCTGCCTCCACCACGATCCCCGAAGCTATCTTCACCCTTAGGCTTGGCCCAATCCAAAGTAACCTTGTTTCCAGCAATTTCACCATCTTCCAGGGGCTCCTTGGTGGATTTGGCATCTTCCCCACTGTTGAAGTCTACAAAACAAATCCTTTAGATGAGCCAATCTCCCAGTCAGTGACTATCCTAGCCCTGATAGAGCATCACATGACTCCTTCAATGTCTCTTCCGTTGTCTCCTCAGACAGACCTTTGACAGAGTTTTGGACAGCTGGCTTCTTGCATTAGGCTATCCTCTGGGTCCTTGTAATTCCAGCCTGATTGCTCTGCCCTCGATTTCTCTTTTATTACAGGAATTTAGAGCTTCTTTAGCATCTTCAAATGAAGCAAGTAATATAAGTGCATATCCTTTAGATTTGCCATTTTAGTTCTAAGATACTTTAATAAAAGCTGCCTTCTCGAATACTTCCTGAAGGGTTTCTTCTGTTGCACTGTAAGAAAGGTTGCTTAAAATCAGAGTTTTTGATTCACCATTCCAAGTGCTGTTCTTTCCACCTCTATGGTCTTGATCCGGTACAGTACAGAGAAATGGATCGCCCATCTATTTATGTTCCTTGCTTTTCTTCTAAGATTTTCTCTGCATCAGCTTCTGGCTTAAATTCAATATAAGCAATCCCTTTACTTTTTACATCCTTGCTGACTAATCTGAGCTCCATAGCTTCTTCAAACACTTCTTTTAATTTGTCCTGAATAATTTTATAAGGCAGATTTTTTTTTTTTTTGCCAAGTGTTCTTCCATCTCGATCTTTTTTACTGTCTTTTCCTTTGTTTTTTCTAGTTTAATTTCATCGCCAAAGACTTTTAAACCAGTGAGTTCTAAGGCTTTTTCCACGCCCTCAGCAGATTCAAAATCCACATAGCAAAATTCCTAAACACACCAATTCTGACATTCATAACTGCAAGATCGTTTTTAGCAAAAACATCACTGATACCTGTTTTTAATTCAGGAGCAGTCTTGCTGAAGTGCAGGTTTCCAACCAAGAGACTGAAAGCCGCAGTTGGTTCTGTGGCTTCCACTTTCTGTTTCTTGGCCTCAGGAGCAGGTTTCTGTTTGGCCATTTCCTTTTTTTTCATTTTCCAGGTGCTTGACAGGCTTATTCTCCTCCTATTTATCCTTCTCTTTATTATCCTCTTCCTCATCCTCCTCCTCTTCATCATCATCCTCTTCATCTTCATCCTCAGCTGTTCTCTTATCCTTCACAGGAACAGCTTTTACAGGAGCTTTCTTGCTTTGGTGCAATCTCCATAGATTCTTCTTCAGAGTCATCTTCTTCTTCTTCACCGTCTTCCCCACTGTTGAAGTCTAACAAAACATCCTCATCCTCATCTTTGTCATCTGAGGCAGGAGCAGCAGCAGAAGCTTTCATCACTGCTGGCTCAAATTTGTTTTCCTCCTCCTTTTCCTCCTCTTCACTGTCCTCAACATCTTCCTCATCACTATCTTCCTTCTTAGCATCCTTGCCATTCTTTGATCCCTTGACTGGGGTGGCTGCTCCCTTCTTACCAAGAGCTGCTACAAATGCTTTGCCTGGTGCCTTTTTGCCAGGGGTGACAACTGCTTTCTTGCCTAGTGTGGCAACTGCAATCTTTTTTGTTTGGGAACCCACCTTCTTTCTTGGAGTTGTGGTAGCCTTCTTGCCTTTTTTTCTGAGGAATGATTACCGCTTCTTCACTTCCTCCATCTTCTTCATCTAACATTTCCTCATCTCACTATCTTCTACCTTCTTTGAAGGAGGAGCCATTTTCTTGGGGTCACCTTGATTTTTACCAGCCTTTGTGAGCTTCACCATGACCTCAGCTTATGATGGAGGAGTGTGTGGCAGGTGAGTGGTGCAGATGTGCCCAGAGGAATCAAATGGCATTGATGGCAGCTGCTGATACTAAAGGACTGGAGTGCATATATTTCACTTCAGCTAGAGCTCAAGATTCTCAATTTCTTTTTTCAATGTCTTACAGTTTTCTGAATAGAGGTCTTTTACCTCCTTTGTTAAATTTATTCCTAGATATTTTATTCTTTTTTGTGTAATTATAAAAGAGATTTTTTAATTTCCTTTAGATTATATATTAGTGTATATTCATACAATGGATTTATGAATATTAATTTCATATCCTCCTACTTGACTGAATTCCTTTACTGCATTCAATTTTTGGTGGATTCTTTAGGGTTTTCTATATATATTAGAGGCCCAGTGCATGAAATTGATGCATGGGTAGAGCTCCTAGGCCTGGCCAGTGATTAGGGATGATCCGTGGGGCAACTGGCAGGGCAGTCAGGGCCCCCACTGGCACCACCTTGGCTGGCCTGGTGCCACCCACTCACTGGCCTGCACACTCCCCCACCCCCCTCCACCACCATCACTGCTGGTCACTTCCCTTGGCTCTGCACCCCAACTGCCCCACTACTGCTGCCAGTTACCTCCCTCTTCAGGGCGACCAGTGGGGCAATTGGGGGCATCTGCTTTGGCTGGCCTAGGGCCTGTGGGCTGGGGGCTGCTCCTCCATTGAGCATCTGCCCCCTGGTGGTCATTGTGCATCATAGTGACTAGTCATTCTACTGTTCATTTAATTTGCATATTAGACTTTATTATATATGATAGTGGAATATCAGGGTTTTTATTGATAAGGACACCATAGCTCAAAACAAAAAACAAGTGACTCTTGGACAAATAGGATGTGGTCTGCATGGTTTGAAATAAACACTAAAACAATGGATATGAGTAATTGGATCATGACAATAACTATTTGAAAATTTTAAATAATTTTTATTAAAATAATCAGGCTGCACTTCCATAACAAAACAAAAATTTGCATGCATGCTGAATGTGTTTTTTAAAAAAACACATTACTGAGCACAGATGTATGAATTTAATGCAAGCATTACAACTTAAAAATGCTATTTGCCTAACTGCAATGTAACTTACTCTGATAAGAAGTACGGATCCGTTTCGTTAAATCAGGATAAAAGTTAGACAGGCCACGCATGCAAAAGTTGTCTTTGGAACATGCCAGAACACCAGCATCAGCAGCAGGCAGGGGAAAGAGAGAGAAATAGTCTAAAGTGAAAGGAAGTGATATCATACCAGAATCTATAACAGCCAAGATGAAGAAATTGCAGCAAGATTAGGTAATCAAATTAGAAAGAAGATATTAAAAAAATAAGTCAATTAGAAAGTAAAATGTGATAGATGAATGATGAGAATTCTGTAGAAATTTTATTTAATCCAATATGCCATCTATTTTTATAAGATATTTATCTTATGCTCTTTATGTAGTAAACTTATTGGTTTACAAATAATATATTACCTCATAAATATCACAATGGTTGTTTTTAATTTTCTGTATTAAAAAGGAAGCTTAGGGATTATAGTCTTTAATATTTTATTTTTATAATGAAGTACTCATTTTATACACTAAATATGAAATTTATTACTTCATTACAGTTTTTCCTAATTTTAAAGTCATCAAAATTGTAAGCTCTAATCATAAATATTAAAGCTCAACAAGATTAAATTAAGCAACAGTTGTATTATCTGTCTTCCCACTCTGTATATCTAGCAATAACTTATATGCTATCAGAGAATCCAAAGCTTTTCTGATTAAATTGGTGCTTTCCATATGCAAACAGTGCCTACTACCTTCTAACTTCTTTCTGCCTTTAAGTTCATGAACTTTCAAAAGTCAACCCTCTTTTTCCCAATCATGAGGGAATTTTATGATACATGCACACACAATTTCTCTTATTCGGTCTTCCTTTCAAAAGCCAGTAGTGGTTGAGACAGAACCTATTAAATTTGAAATTTTTAGCATTCCTAAAATATTGTTAAAAGTTGAGATTTCTAACAAAAACCAGGTTCTAAAAGAGAATTTCTGTGTTCCTGAAAAGAGTCAAACTTGCATTTTGAGAGGATTAAGGTTTACAATAAGCAGAGATTCAGTATATCAAGTACTTTTTTTATTAGTCTAAAAGGAAACTTCAGTCTTCAGTATCACATTCAGATGTTAAATTTAGAACATAATACCTACCATCATGCACTGTTTTTATTTTAAAATATTCTTGTAGGAGTATATTTAGTAAAGCCGTCCATAGTCTTCAACTGATTAAAACATTTTTAAGAGAACTATCCAAAATGTAAAGAAACTATATTTTCTGTCTACTGATATAATACTATAAACATATTTTCATCTGTGAGCCTTTTAGCCCAATTAATTTTTTAACTGAATGATGTCAGTGGACAGAAAATATACAAAAGTTTGACAATGTTTACAAAGCCAACTATTTGGACATATACTGAAATTTGGATGATTTGGCATTATATAGGAAGTATTTTGCTTAAATCCTAATTGAACATGCATAGTTTTCTTTTATACTTTTTGATCCTATTAAGAATCTCATCTTTCGTAGAATTTTAAATGTTAATAATGTTTATTTCATTTGTTAAATACCTCGTAGAAAGTCATCACCCAATAAGAAAAATAACAGCTAAAATATGGAGTTTATTTTTAAAAAGAAGTAAATAACTACTTTTAACTAATAATTATATTTTTAAAGAGGCAAGATTATTCTCTTTAACACAAAATTGAAACCAGTTTTTTCAACTAGAGAGCCTGATTTTCATAGCATTTCTGTTTTTAATAGCTTATTTTCTAGAAGACTTCAACCTAAGAAACTTGAAATGATTCCTAACTTTAAATATCTCATTTACCCTTTCAAAGATTCTATGTTTCTGTCTAATTTTACTTACATGGTATTGTAAGTTATGTTCACTTTATGTTGTCATGCATTTTAACATCATCACAAAAGAAAGATAAGAAATCTAAAGGCAAGAAAAATATATGAACTTAATCAAGTTTGTAACTATCTTGTTTTTTATCTCCTACCTGCAATGAACTGCTTGTTTTTTCGAGGAGACCGTGGTTGTCGTTGGTATAAGTCACTTGATCTATATAGGTCAATGGTCCCCATGCTTAATAGTACTGTCTTCTGTATAAAATCCACTACAGCCAACCCATTGCAGTTCCCAAATGCAACTCTGAGAGAAAAAGAAAAATGCAACTAGAATGAATCACACCAGTATTATTTTTTTTACATTTGAATTAAAAATAAGATTACTGGAAAGTAAAGCTGTCATGTTGGAGATGTTGAGCAGTCCAGAAGGATATTATGCCTTTACAAAAAATGGGTTGAACTTGTATAATTTTCCTCACAAAAATAGAGTTGATCAATATTATTATAAGTAAATTTATAAATGACCATGACAAATCATAGGAATGAACTGTACCCACATTTTGTCATGTAAATAGTAATTACCCAATTGGCTCTTTAACTACTTTATCTTACATTTTTACAGAAGAATCATGTGACATCATTTTGGTAAACAATGGGGAAATATGTCAAAAAGGGTCACACTTTCAAAAACTTAGGTTTGTAATTAGGTGCCTTTATGAAATAAAATATTAGATTCCAAATTAGTTCTCTTTTTAAACCAAGGATTTATATATATATAAATAAAGTTATTACATAGGTCCTCTGTTTTCCCATTAACTTCTTCCGGCCCTCCCCCGAGGCCCTATATCCATGGGTTATGCATACAAGTTCATTGGTTGATCTAATTTTCTCATTTCTTTTGCTCCTCATTTTGTCCCATTTATTAATAGACAAAGACCATTTGATAAATTCCTTTGAAATTAAAACTGTTCTCCTAAGCAGTCATTTTGATCACCTCAACCATTAGCATACAATAACTTTTCTTTTTCTCAATTTACAATATGCCTTCCAGCTGAACAATTATAAATATGTGTTTGTTGCTTCTTACATTAAATATACACTAGATGTATGGGTGCTATTTTGCTCATTTTATATAAGTTACATGTTGTTTTATTGCTTAGATTGAATCTGGTTAGCAGATCATCTGCTTACTCTGAATCTAGTTCTTTCTACTTCATCTCACTGTCTTCCTCACAATGAAGACTTTCAGGATACTAGATGTTTTGCTGTTTTACACAGAGTATTTTACATCTCCTAGTAAGACAGATTTTGGAAATTTTGAAAAAGTATTGTTCCAGTAGCTGGACATTTATATATATACAGATTGGAGGCCTGGTGCATGATATTCATGCACTCAGGGCAGAGTGGGGGGCGGTCTCTCAGCCAGGCCTGTGCCCTCCTGCAGTTCTGGAGCCCTTGGGGGATGTCTGACTATGGAAGTGGGCCTAAACTATCAGTCAGATATCGTTAGTGCTGCCACAGAAGTGGAAGAGGCTCCTGCCACCACTGCTGTGCTCACCAGTTGTGAGCCTGGCTTCTGGCTGAGTGGTGCTCCCACTGATTACAAGAGGGCATAAACTCAATGCAGGAGCTGCCCCTGGTGGTCAGTGTGTATCACAGCGGCTGGTCATCCCACTGTTCTGTCAATTTGCATATCAGCCTTTTATTATATAGGATTATTATTTTTCTTATACCATGTTTTATCTAATAAAAATCCAAGTAAGGGCTTTCTTTCCATATTTAGAACTTCACTTTAGTATTTTAAAGGAAATATCTAAATATATCAAACATATTAGATAAATAGTACAAATTAGAAAGAATGTTTAGCTACTCACATTCCATATGCTGAACTTACAGCAAGACTAGTAATCTGTTGAGGGGGTTCACCATCCGCCCACACCAACTGAATAACAAGTTCTGCTTGATAACCTGGTGGCATCCGCACTGGTCGTGTCTTAACACTAGAAAAAAAGAGAGAGAGAGAGAGAGAGAGAGAGAGAGAGAGAGAGAGAGAGAGAGAGAGAGAGAGAAATGTAGTTCTATCAACACAGTTTAAATAAGTATGTTCATGATTATCTTCATAATTTACATAGAATATTCCTATAGAAATATACAACACCAGACATTAAGGGTAGTATGCAGCTAGACAATGTCTTCTAGCTTTCTCAAAATATAAGCCACCTGTGAGTGCTTAGATTTTTCTTTAACATGTTAAGCGCCCAGCCTGTTTTATCTTCCACTAATGGAAAGTATAGTGTCAGTCACCAGTGACTGACTGGACACTTAATGTGTTAAGTAGCTAAGCTGTTCAGTCAAATCTGCAACTTCAACTGGTCTTTATCACTTTCTTTTTTTCTTCTGAGAATAGTATTTTAAATTATTTTATTATTTACTAGAGGCCCTGTGCATAAAATTCATGCACTCGAGCGGGGTCCCGCAGCCCAGCCTGCACCCTCTCGCAGCCAGGGAGCCCTCAGTGGATGTCTGCTGCCACAGAGATGGGCGAGGTTCCCACCACCGCTGCTGCACTTGCCGGAGCCTGGCTTCTGGCTCAGAGGCGCTCCCCCAGAGGGCTGCTCCTGCGTTGAGCGTCTATTCCCTGGTGGTCAGTGCATGACATAGTGACTGGTAGTTCCACCGTTTGGTCAATTTGCAGATTAGCCTTTTATTATATAGGATTTTTCTTATGAAATATTAGTTACACATTTTAAGTTATAAAGCATAAAAATAAAAAAGAATAACCAATAATCTACCACTGAACATAAGATTTCAGCATATCCAAAACCTAAATTCCTGCTCTTTTCTTCTAACCTGGCTCCACCTGTACTCTATTCCAGTTGAGAGCAACTCCTATCCTTGTAGTTAATCAGTTAAAGAAACAAACAAAAAAACCTTTAAAATCACTCTTGACAAATATCCTTCTCTCATACCTCAATCCCAATAATTTTTAAATGCTGATGGTGTTACTTTAAAAATGTATTTGGAATAAGATCTCCTTTTTACTTCTCTACTGCTTCTATCCTAGTTATAATTGACAAATAAAAATATTGGATAGCTATTAAAGCCTGAATTTCAAATAAACAATAAATAGGTGTTGTTTTTTTCTCTGTATGTATGTCCCATGCAGTATTTGAGATATACTGAAGCTAAAAAATGTTCATTGTTGATCTGAAATTCAGATTTAAATGGGTATTCTGTATTTTTTTTATGGCTAAATCTGTAAGCCCTCAACATTAAGTCTAGTTAGGTACAAACATCCTTCTTACTGGTCTTCTGACTTGTACTCTTTTCTTCCATCTCAAAATTGATTTTCAACACGGCCATCAAAGTGATTAATTTAAAAGTTACATCTGATCATGTCACTTCTCTCTTCAAAACCTTATGACTCCCATTTTATAGGAATAAAAGCCCATTACAGTGGCTCTCTGTTGACTATCTGACATTATCTCCTACTGCCCTCTCCACTAACATAGTTCCCCGAGTTCTAGTTACACTGGCCTTAATATGCCAGGCACTTCAAGCTGTGCCTTTTGCCTGGGACACTCTTCCATCTTGTCTTCTTCAGCCAACTCTTTCATTTACTTTTCATTCAAATCTCATCCTCTTAGTGAGAGGCCTAGGCTGGCTACTCATTTTACACATTAGGAAGCACAAAGGCAAAAAATTTTAAACATCATTAATTGCACAAATATGTGTATATTGGTAAGAATTGTAATGTTGCTAAAAATGAAGTGTTGTTTGTTGAAATGCTTATTTGTCAGCTAATGTATATGGTAATCTAATCCACCAAAGGGAAAGTGACTGAGGGATGGATGCTGACATATAATTTATCATAGACTAGAGGCCTGCTGCACTAAATTCTTGCATGGGTAGGGTTCCTAGGCCTGGCCTGTGACCAGGGCCCATAGGGCCTTCTTTCCTCTGCTGCCGGCTGCTGACTGGAGCCTTCCTTCATTACCTGCCACCCCCTGGTGGTCAGCACACATCATAGTGAATGGTCGAACTCCTGGTTGGTTGAACTCCCAAGGGGACAATGTGCTTATCAGCCTTTTATTATATAGGATTATATGCAACTAAAAAACCACATGTAATATAATGTAATTCATGGAACAGTATTCTTAGATCAGTTCTGCTGCTTGGTTTCTAGGACCTTATGTACATTATTTATTGATTTTTTCACTTTGGTTCTCTTGATTTTCCTCAAAACTGTATTACTTCAAGTCAACATTAAATCATTTTATTATGCTTAAATACTGTTAATGCTTACATCATCTCTACTACCAAATTTTTGTTTTCTTCACTGTTTTTTCTCTTATCCCTATCTTAATATAAATTTTATATAAAAATATTTAGATAATTGGAGGACCCATACTTCATGTTGGTTCTTAGTAGTTAATAAACAAATCAGTCTACATTGCTTTCTTGAGCTTTGTTGAGTTTTTTCTTCTCTTTTCGGATTTCATTTTAATAGAAAATGAAAAAAAATCAATAAAATGAACCAAAGTGCTATGAAGGGAAAACTGAATATATAATAACATTATGAATGTTTTCTATTTGCTAAAATCTTATGATGTTTCCTCTGTGTAGATTTTTCCTCCAGTAGTTCCTGTTTACATTTCCTTTTTGTGCTTCACAAGAAAAAATTTTTGTGGAAAAAACAATAATTACAAAAGACAGCAACTTCTAATTGTGTGGTAAACTGATTTTGCTTCTGAAATCTTATCTTTAAAGTTTCCATAAGTATTTTTATAATAAACTGGTGCCCCAATGCATGGGTTCATGCACATTGAAAGGTAATTAATTAGAAGGTAGCTGTGGGGCGAGATTGGGCAAGACAGGACAGACGCACCCTGAATTCAACCTCCCGCCGTCCCTCGCTGGCTGGCTGCACCTGGGGTGGCATCTGCAAAGTGAGCAGGGTCCCTCCAGTAGGTGGGGTCCCTCAGCCTGGCCTGCAGGGATTGGGCCAAAACCAGCTCTTTGACATCCCCCAAGGGGTCTCGAATTTCGAACGGATGGTTCTTGGGTGATGATCCCCAGAATGGGGCTCCCTCCTCTCTGGTTCTGGGTGTATCACCAGAGAATCGCAACTGCCAAATCACCACAACTCAGCAGCTCCTGGGTTGAGCATCTGCCCCCTCATGGTTAGTGCCTATCATAGCTACTGGTTGGAGCATCTGCCCTCTGGTGGTCATTGCGCATCGCAGCTACCAGTTGGACAGTCAGAGAGTTACTTATGTTTTATGTATATAGATGAGGAAGCTAGTTCTCTAAAGTTCCTTTAGTAGCAGATTCGGGTATCTTCATATAATGCTTAAACAAACTTTGCTTAGGCTCAATTCTCCAACTAGCTAATACAAAAAACATTTGGTTTAAGGAAGAAGCAGTGAGTAGTAATTTAAGGAAACTGCATTCTTTTATATTTGAGTTCTAAAAAGCATAAAAGCAATTAAGATAAATATTTCTATGAGCTTGATTAAGTCTTCCTTGATTATGACACTAAACTTTGTTTAGATATACTGAGAAAACATAGTTTACTACCAAATAGCATCAGTTAAAAAAGAGAAAGACATACAGTATTCTACCAATCACAAGAGGTAAAATCTTTTTTTCTTCTTCTTTTTTTAAAATATATTTTATTGATTTTGTACAGAGAGGAAGGGATACAGATAGAGAGTTAGAAACATCGATGGGAGAGAGTCATCGATCAGCTGCCTCTTGCACACTCCCTCCTGGGGATGTGCCCACAACCAAGGTACATGCCCTTGACTGGAATCGAACCCGGGACCCTTCAGTCCCCAAGCCGATGCTCTATCCATTGAGCCAAACTGGTTTCGGCTAAAATCTTTTTTTCTAACACAATATTCTTATAGTAGGTAATAAACCTGGTTTCTTTCCCTTCCTGTGACATACTTTTCAGGACCATGTTTGTGCCCTGACAAAATTTTCCTATTCTATCAAAGCCATGCTTTCTTTAGGGTCCTTCTGGGAAGGAAAAATGTGAACTAGTAAGTGAAGGATGAAAATACTATGTCCTCTTCAGGGATATTCAAAGACAAGACCAGAGTATCCTGTGGGGACTGTAGGTCACTTGACAACAACTTAATAGGAGAGAAGAATGATTTTATTTGGCACGGTTTTAAAGAATTATATGATTCATATGTAAAATTGCTTTAAAATTTGGTGGTAACTCTTACTTGAGACATGGGATACTGTCCTTTGTTACTCCTTCACTGGACACAGTGTTAGTGCTCCCGGAAGGACTCCTTGAAGAAGGAAGCTGAGATGAAAGATCTGGAAATGGAGGACTTGTTTCTGTTTCCGGGGTAATAATATCTTCAACATCATACTGAAGCCGTACCTCTAATGACTAAAAAACCAAGTTTAAATTAATTTAAGTCATGATAATAAATAATCACATTAAAACAGCTTATAATTTTTGGTAAGCATTATTTTTTTCTGTTTAATAAGTTTAATTTTAATTTATAGTAAAGCTGACATATTCCAAACTAAATTAATAGTGAATTATATGAAATAAATGGCATCCACAAAAAATTTAAAATACTTTTTAATTCTTCAGATTGTAAAAAAAAATGCATGAGTGTAGATACATTTTTATATAATAAATATTTCTTTAGATAAAGTTTAAATTACAATTCTTTATATGATCAAATAAATGTAAAAATTCATGTTTACCTCAGAGGAAAAGATTAAAATGGATGAGTGTATGTGTGTGTTTACAAATTGTTATTTGTGTAAGGTTTGTACAAGGCTTTTTTTTATTTTAAAAATCTTCCTTCAATTTTATTTTAACTCAATAAAAATTTTCCAAAATAAATTCCATTTTTCTAGTTGTTTGTATCATTAGCTTTGCTCTTCCTTATTTAATTTCATTAGCATGGTCAAGTTGCTTAATGAAAATCATGATAATTTATATTAAAATAAAAATGTGATCCAAAAACCTTATTTAAAATTAAAAATGTTTTAAAATTAAGTACTTTATTATTGCATTTAATGCTTTATTAAAATTTATTTTATAACAAACATTTTCTTTACCATGTAAAATTCAGCATTTTTGAGAATGAAAATAACTGTTTACACAAATACCATTATGACATGGTGAATATAGCAAAATGATTATCATAATTATCTTTTTTTTAAAAGTATATATATTTTATTGATTTTTTACAGAGAGGAAGAGAGAGGGATAGTTAGAAACATCGATGGGAGAGAATCATCAATCAGCTGCCTCTTGCACACCCCCCACTGGGGATGTGCCCGCAACCAAGGTACATGCCCTTGACCGGAATCGAACCTGGGACCCTTCAGTCCGCAGACGGATGCTCTATCCACTGAGCCAAACCGGTTTCGGCTATTGTAATTATCTTAAATTAATTAACTATAAAAAACCTCTAGTGATAATAACAATAGTTAAAATTATTGGGTGCTTATTACACTTAGACACTATGTTAATGACTTCATATAATTATCCTAAAAACCGTCTAAAACTGGCATTTCTATTTCTTGTTTATTGTTACCATCCATCTTATTTACACAGGAAATTATATGGGTGATGAATTTAAGTCTTACCCAGAACTATGACTGAGTCTTGTGACTTGCTCAGTCACAAAGGTTCACTGGTAAAGCCAGAATTAAAACCGAGGCTTATAAGATTCCAAACCTTGGGATTATAACTAATATATTTTAAAAGGGTAATACTTTAGTTGTTAAGGTAAAAAGAGTAGATAATTAAAGATTATCTACTATATGCCTTTAGTAGATAATCTTTAATAGGCCTTTAGTAAATCTTTATTTTCTGATAAAAGGGTAAGGGTAGTGAAGGACCATTATCCATAGGTGCCTTAATTTAGGTTTAATTTATTCCATGAAAACGCCATTATTTTAAATAATTATTTTAAAAATTAAGATTAGGCAAGTCAACCCCATAATTATTTCCGCTGTATAAAAATGCTGCTATATAGAAAATCATTATAAGTAATCTTATTGTAGTTGAGATATAATCATATATGAGACATAATCAATTAAGTAACAAAAAGGACAAGTAAACTTAAAAAAAATAAAGGTATAGAATGAATTTGACATACATAAAACCAGTAACAAATCTACATAAAACCTATAGGCATAATTCATCCTACTTAATAATACCAAGATTTTATAAAGAATTGTTTTTGTCATTTCAAGCCAAACTTTTAAAATGTACTATCCAAAAACTTTTAAAATATACTATATTAAAAATCCTATGAATTGGATTATTGGCCACATACTGCAGTCTTAGTGGCTTAAAACCATACCAATTATTAACCAAAATCTATGATAATTTCTTTTAATTAAGTGGGAAAGTTAAATTTTCAATGACTTACCACTATTTCTGTTGTAATTTCATGTCTACTGAATTTATAAATTATTACATATGCAGAGACTCCTGAGACACAGAATATTCTGCTCTCTGGACACCAGTAAATCATCTGAATGGCATATGGATCTTCCTCTACAATTTCACATGTTTGTTTTCCATCTCCTATTTTCTGTTTTTCAAACACTTTTGAAGTCTTTAGCTTGTATAGCATCTGTAGAGTCACTATAAGATATTGAAGCATAATTACCCTCTAATTTAAACTTAATTCTTAAATATTGTTGAAGTTTTTTCAATATACTTGTTAAATAACAAAAATAAAACTCAAATAGACAAAATAAATTGAGTTTTAACTAGTAAGAATTCAATGTCATGTTCTCTTATAAGTACAGTTTAGCTGAAGGGAGAGTACAGGGAAAAAGCAAGCATGTATTGAACATACAGTATATATTATACCAACGAATATGTAGTCCTTTGTATGCATTGGCTCATGTTATCCTCAGAAAAACGTCCCGTTAAGTATTTGTATCCCCATTTATTTGACAAAAATGTCAGAGTTCAGAAAATTTACAATGGAAATACCAAATCTAATTCTCCTAAGTAAGATCCCCCCTCATTTCTTTACAATTTTCCCCTTTGATGAGAGGCTGGTGCTATTTTTAGTGGTTTTATGCCTCTTAGTAACTCTTTAGATACTCCTTCAGAAGAGAAACATTATAATATACCAACCAGCAATACTGGAAATCCAATAATTTATAATATCTTAGAAAGAATCTTTTCTGAATGGCTCAGTGATAGGAAAGGGTGAGTTATAATTTTAAGAAACTTGGGGTTTGTAAATTTTTAAAAATATTTATTTTGGGAAATATTTTTTCTTTTCAGTTTTAGACCATGATAATAACTTACTCCTCAATAAGAAAGCTCTAATTCTACAAAGGTTCTCTGAGAAAGTCTCTAAAAATCTAGGAGTTCTGCCAAAGGTGTGTATAATCTGAACCTAATCAGTTGAACCCTAACTGAAGATTTTACAAAATAACTGTCCTGAACTCCTCACAAATGTCTTTTGACACAAAATAAAGACTTGGGAACCATACAAGATTCAAGAAAGCTCAAAAGGTATAACTAAATGAGGTATAACATCATTGATCCTATATTTTCATTTATTATAAAAGATATTATTGGGACAATTGGCAAAAACTAAGTAAGATCTGGAGGTTAGACAACAGTACTGTATAAATGTTAATTTCCTGATTTTAATAACCATAATTATGTAAAAGAATGACTGTAATTGTAGGAAATACACACTGAAGTACTTAAGGGCATTTAGTGTCAGAGGAGCATTTTATCTTCACCTTACTCTTAAATGGTTACAAAAAGTTATAAGTTATAAATATGTACATATTTACTAGTACATACATATGTGTGTGTAAATATAGAAAGGGGTGAGAGAGAATAAGGAGTCAGGGTCGGGGGAGAGCACAACCATGAAAACGTAGTAATCATTGACATTTTGGAATCGGGATGAAGGCTTGTACAACACTTCATACTATTTTTTCTTTTTGCAATTTTTTGGTAAGCCTGAAATTATGTAAACCTAAAATAGTTTTCAGAATAAGAAAGGCGTTAATATTAGGTGCTATATCCTTGCCTTTAGGTCAGAGGGATTATCACTCATGATTATTTTATGTAACATGGCAATAGTAAACGGATATTGCAGACATAAATAAGGCCCCTAATTAGTTAACTGACTTAATCAATAGAGATTGTCCTTGATGGGGCTGACATACTCAGGTGCGTCCTTTAAGAGAGACTCCCTGAGGTCAGAAAGATACTCCTTTGCTGGCCTTGAAGAAACAATTAATCATGAGTTGTAAAGCTGCAAGAAATAAATTCTGGCACCATCCACATGAGTTTGGAAGATCCTGAACCTCAGATGAAATTGCAACCCTAGCTAATACCTTGTTTGCAGTCTCAGGAGACCCTGAGCAAAGAACCCAGCTAAACCATACCTATATTCCTGACACACAGACTGTGAGATAACAAATAGGTAGTGTTTTCAGCTGATAAATTGTGGCAATTTTACAATTCAGCAGTTAAAAAAATAATACACACAATAACATAAACAATTATTCAAATGCAGTATAACCTGACTTCCTGTACTGGACAGTATTACACAAAATTTGCAAACTAAGTGATATTTCATCAATGACATCCATTAAATTGGAGATTTGTTTTTATAATTAAATAGAGGCCCAGGGCACAAAATTCGTTCACTCAGTGAGCCCCTCAGCCTGGCCTGTGCCCTCTTGCAGTCCAGGAGCCATACAGAACTCTCTTGTATTCCTTATTTCTAAGAGTTACTACATCTGGTTTCTCATCCTCAGACACTCCTCCTATTCCTATCAAAATCTTAACAATCTTCCAAAACTCATGTTAAAAATTACTCCATCAAAATATCTTTCCTTGATCAACCTGGTTCAAATAAATCTCCCATTTTTTATAACAAATTGAGGTTGTACTACCTTTCAGGTTCTTATGTTGTTTGCCCTGTAGCTACATATGTGCATTTATTTGTTTTAGTTATTAAATTTTCTGAAAGGTATGTATGTTATAATCAAGTCTGAAATATCCTTATATACATGCCCTTCAGTTGAGCAGAGTACATTTCTTTTAAATTTTGAAATTCTCAAATTTAAAAAAATGTTTTACATTTATCAAATAATTTATTTTGATTTTCACAGGATTTGGTAGACAAGAGATAAAGAAAAGTGAAGACTCATATGTAATACTTTCAACAATAATTAAAAAGAAAAAAGTGAATACTAATGGGATAAAAACACTTTTCCAAAACCACAGAGTTAGGAGGTGAAGGCTATTCTTTTAGTTCTTCCTGACAAAGTTTGGTACATTTTCCAATGTAGTTTGCCTCTTATAAATATAATGGTTGGTGATAATGAGTGACTTCAGTCCTGTCTGTTTATATTATGGAAGTAAAGCAAAGTAGAGATACTTTACTAGTAAAATGACCTAATAATATAGGAAATAAGTTTTTGTAACACAACTATACATGTATGGTAAAAATGTACCTAAAATATTATTCAAATAATTAATGAGTACATATTAACCAAGTGCTTCCTGCTAAGAGGGAAAAAACTTAAAACTTACTTGCAGAAGCATCCCAAAATTTTATTGATCCATCTGCATGACTAGATGAAAAACAAGTTAGCATTAATTAAAGTATATTAAATTAAAAAAGTCATTCTAAAAGTATAAAACTTGAGTTATTGTTAAAATTCAATTTAAAAATACTGTTTCAATGAAACTAGAGTATACTAAATCATTTCTAAGCTCAAGACAATGGTTTACATTTAAAACAATACATTAAAATCTAAATTTAAGAAAGAACAATCATTACTTAGATTTTACTCTGAGAAGATTTTATGTGTAATAAGAAAGCAATGAAAATGGATCTGTGGGAAAAAATATTTTTTAATATAAATTTTTTACACTCAATAAAAAAGATAGTTGGGGCAATTTTGATTATGTTAAAATAATTTTGAAATGAATAGCATACTGAAATTAAAGTTTCAAATTATAAAAATCAAATTCTTAAACCTAACTATATTTTTATCATTATATGGTAATAAATAATAAGAATTCTATAAGAACTTACCAAGAAAAGAAAATAGGATAAAATACTTCCCAACACATTTTATGAGGTCAGTTTTATCCTGATACCAAAACCAGTAAAAACATTGCAAGAAAATTACAAATTAATATTCCTCAAACATGGGCAAAAAAACTGTCAACAAAATATTGGAAAACCAAATGAAGGAATAAATAGAAAGGAGTATACATCATAACTAGGTGGGATTTAATCCCAGGAATGCAAAGTCAGTGAAACATTAAAAAAAAATCATATTGTAATTCATCATACTAAAAGATTTAAAAACTCCCACACATGATCATCTCAATAAATGCAGAAAAAGCATTTGACAAAAATTACCATTCATTCATGAAAAACAAACAAAAAAACCCAAAACATACAACCCTCAACAAACTAGGAACAGAAAACTTCTTCCACCTGCTAAAGAGCATCTAGGAACAACCTTCAAATCCCACATATAAATGAAATCATATGGTATTTGTCTTTCTCTGTCTGACTTATTTCACTTAAGATAATATTCTCCAGGTCCATCCATATTGCAAATGGCAAGATTTTATTCTTTTTTTATGGCTGAGTAATATCCCATTGCATATATGTGCCAAATCTTTATTCATTCATCTATTGATAGACACCCAGGTTGCTCTTATATCTTGACTATCCTAATATATAAAAACACCAGGTCCATCACATCTGCAAGGACCAAAAGACTCAACCGTTCATCAGGCTATGCAGGAAGCAAGTGAGTGGGCTGAATTGCTGACCTCTGAGAGAGAGAGAGAGAGAGAGGTGGGGCTGATCAGCAGTAGTAGCAGCTGCTGGCGAGGCCTGGATAGAGAAACATGGTGATCAGATCCTACTTCTCTCTCCCTTGCCAGCAGCCAAGCCTCTCTCTCTCTCCCAGAGGTCAGCAGTTCAGCCACTGGCAGCAGCCTGAGGCAGCTGCTGATTAGCCCCGCCTCTATGATCAGGCCTGGAGATGCTCACTGGCATAGAAACAAACGAATCAGAACCAAATCTGGGTGAATTGCAAGGAGCCAATGGTTGCCTAGGAGGCGGAGCTTTTGATGCTGACTGGCAAAGAAACTGACCAATCAGAACCAAATCTGTGTGAATTGCAAGAAGCCAATGGCTGCTTAGGAGGTGGAGCTTTTGACACTGACTGGCATAGAAACCGACCAATCAGAACTAAATCTGGGTCAACTGTGAGGAGCCAATGGCTGCCTAGGAGGTGGAGCTTTTGATGCTGACTGGCATGGAAAATGAACCAAATTGGCTAGCAGAGGAGGGCAGTTGCGGGGGACCAGGCTTGCAGGGGACCAGGCTTGCAGGGGAGGGCAGTTGGAGGTGACCAGGACAGCAGGGGAAGGGCAGTTGAACTTGGCTTTGAATTTGCCTGGGCACTACAACTTTTTACTTGTTTCTCAAGTTTTCATAAAAACTTTTGAACCATATACTGTTATGTCAGTGTCTACATGAAGAAACAAGGTCTAGGGCTATCCTGGTATCTTGCTAATGTCACTCTCCATAATTATTTTATAGAGTATTTTTTTCAATTCCTTTTCTCTCAACCTGACCATACTGTTATATTTGAGGTGAATGTATTGTAAATAGCATGAAGTTGGATCATAATTTTTTTTCTGGTATTGCCATATATGTTTTTTGTTTTTAAATTTATTTTTTAAGGTATTACGTATGTGTCCTTATTCCCCCATTACCTCCTACCTCCCATTCATGCTCCCACCCCCTGTTGTCTGTGTCCATTGACTAGGCTTATATGCATGCATATAAATCCTTTAGTTGATCTCTCCCCATTACTCTTACTGTCCCCTACCTTCCCTGAGGTTTTACATTCTGATTGATGTTTCTCTGTCTCTGGATCTATTTTTATTCACTAGTTTATGTTGTTCAATATATTCCACAAATGAGGGAGATCATGTGATATTTATATTTCTCTGCCTGGCTTATTTCACTTAGTATATCTATGTTGTTGCAAATGGTAAGAACTTCATTTTTACTGCAGCGTAGTATTCCATTGTGTAGATGTACCACAGTTTTTTAAACCGCTCATCTGCTGATGGGCACTTAGGCTGTTCCCAAATCTTAGCTATGGTGAATTATGCTGCCATGAACATAGGGGTGCATATATCCTTTCTGGTTTGTGTTTCTAGATTCTTGAGATATATCCCTAGAAGTGGGATCACTGGGTTAAATGGGAGTTCTATTTTTTATTTTTTGAGGAAACTCCATACTGTTCTTCACAGTGGCTTTACCAGTCTGCATTCCCACCAGCAGTGAATGAGGGTTTCTTTTTTTCCCCTGCGTCCTCGCCAGCACTTGTCATTTATTGACTTGATAATAGCCATTCTGACAAGTGTGAGATGGTACCGTATTTTTGTTTTGATTTGCATCTCTCTGATGATTAGTGACTTGAACAGGTTTTCATATGTCTCTTGGCCTTCCTTCTGTCTTCTTTCAAAAAGTGTCTATTTAGATCAGTTGCCCTTTTTTTGATTGAGTTGTTTATCTTCTTTTTGTTAAGCTGCTTTTTCTTAAGTTCCCTGTAAATGTTGGAGATTAAACCCTTATCATTGATATCATTGGCAAATATGTTCTCCCATGCATTGGGCTTTCTTATTGTTTTATTGATGGTTTCTTTTGCTCTGCAAAAGGTTTTTATTTTGATGTAGCACCATTTGTTTATTTTCTCTTTAGTTTCCATTGCCCTAGGAGTAGTATCAGTGAAGAAATTGCTTTGGCATATGTCAGATTTTTCTGCCTATGGATTCCTATAGTATTTTTATAGTTTCTCATAGTATGTTTAAGTCCTTGATCCATTTTGAGTTTATTTTTGTGTATGGTGTAAATTGGTGGTCTAGTTTCATTTTTTTGCATATATCTGTCCAATTTTTCCAACACCATTTATTGAAGGGACTGTCTTGACTCTGGATCATAATTTTTAATCCTCTCAGCCAATCTGTGAATTTGAATTGGTGTATTTAGAGCATTTAAACTTGAACTTCATGTTTTTTTTCTCCCTGCCTATGGGTTAACTGAATTATTTTAGTCATCCATTTTGGTGTGTCAGTGTTTTTCAATGTATCTACAATATTTGCACTGGTTTGTTTTTAATGGTTGCTTAAAGTAAAACAACTTACCACAATCAACTGGTGTCATATTACCATTTCCAAGGGAGTATAAAACCCCCACCTTCCTTTACATTACATTATCACCTCCTATTTATACTTGTTTTAAAATTTTCCCCTCTATATATGTAGAATTACATCAGACAATGTAACTATAATATTTATTCAACCATGAAATACAATTTTTAAAAGTCAAGAGAAAAAAAAGCCCATTATTTTTGCTTACTGTGTTTTTCCTTGACATTCCAGGCTTAACTTCTTTTATCATTTGCTTTCTGCTTAGAGAACTTCCATTTGCTACTCTTTTTTTTAAAATATATTTTATTGATATTTATAGAGAGGAAAGGAGAGAGACAGAGAGCTAGAAACATTGATGAGAGAGAAACATCGACCAGCTGCCTCCTGCACACCCCTACTGGGGATGTGCCCGCAACCAACGTACATGCCCCTGACCAGAATCGAACCCGGGACCTTTCAGTCCACAGACCGACGCTCTACCACTGAGCCAAACTGGTTTCGGCCCATTTGCTACTCTTTTAGGATAGGTCTTATGCTGACAAACTCTGTTTCCTTCTGAGAAACTGTTGATATTTCCTTCCTTCCTGAATGATAATTTGCTGGGTATAACATTTTGGGTTGCCAGTTTTTTTCTATTGTAGCAGCACTTGAAATTTAGTTTTCCTTTTGGCTTCTACAGTTTCTGATAAGAAATTCACCATCATTCATAGGGTGAGACTACAGGATTTTGCCCTATAGTCATTCCTCTTTTGCTGTTTTCATTTTTTTTCTTCTTAGTGTAATGTTCATAGGTTTAACTATGATGTGACTTGTGGGTTTCTTGTGATTTATTCAGTTTCTGGAATTTATATGTTCATGTCTTCTGCCAAATTTGGAAAGATTTCAGTAATCATTTTCTTACATACATTTTTAGTCCTGTTCTCTCTTTATTCACTGAATTTCCACTGACACAAAAGTAGAAGATATGGGGCTCATTATTGCTTGGCAGTGGTGAAAATTCTGGCCCCCACATGACTCCTGTAACCCCACAGATGATGGGTTTCATCACCACCAAGCAGAGTTAAAAGTCCCAGATTCCTACTCAGCCTTAGTTCAGTGTCAGAAAATGATACTCTTCTCAGGAGGAAACTGAAGCACCTTTTTACAGCCTAATGAGGTTGAAAATCTAGGCTCCCCAGTCTGTTTTGCTTGAGTGAGTTGGGGTGACAATTAGCTGAAGTAGAGAGATTATTTTCTAAGAATTTTCTGTATCAATAAACTGCCCCTTTGCTCATCCTTTGGCTATAGAGAACTAGCTTTTGTTGGTGTTTGATTTTTTGTGTGACCATTGGCAGATCTAGGTTGCCAGCTTCTTCAGCTCCAATTCTGGAATACATAAGGCAAAAAGAAAACCCAGGAAACTTAACACCTTGTCATTCTGTAGAACTTGGGAGCCTTGCCAGTCTGACTTTACAGCTTTTCTAGTCAAATTATGTTTGTTTAATATATAATATTCAGGGTATTTAGTTGTATTTAGTGGGAAGAAAAGGGAAAAGTACATCTACTCTACTATCCCATTAGCAGAACACCTTATTATCTTTTAAATCTCATCTTTATCTGTTGTTATGTCTCTATTTTCATTCTGAATATTAGAGCATTTAGTAGGCTGCTATAGAAAATGGTATCATTTCTGGTGTTATAAATTTTGAAACATACTTTATATAACTACCTGATGAGACATAGAACAATGACTTTGTCAAGAACCAAGAGATGTTGTTAAGGGCCATTCTAAAGCTAATAATCTGATTTCCAAAGGAATTCTTCCTTGACTAGTCTCTTGTAATTTTTTTTTTTTTTTTTTTTTTTTTTTTTTTTACTTTCTCCTACCCTTACAATCTACACTTAATTATTTTTGTTGTATGTCTATGTTTTCAGTGGTTTCATTCTATCTTCCACCAATGTTATAATCTTTGGATAGCATTTGTGTCTTATATTTTTATTTTACTTGAGCAGTCAATCTGCCTAGAGCATAATTATGAGAAATTGTAAAAATTCAATCAAATATATTTGATAATAAATTGATAAATTTAAAAATCACATCCCACTTACCCAGTAATAATAATTTCTGGATATGTCTGTGTCCCAAGGTTCCAAGCTCCTCCAGTGATTGGCCACTCCTAAACATATTATCCAGGAAAAATTTATGTTCACTTTTAAAATTTGAATAACTTCTACATTTTAAGTGAAAATATTTTAAAATAAAATATTTTCTTATAAAGTAAGGGAGGATGAAGTATGTAGCTACCTTTAATTCTCTCAACCAAATGTGTAATTCCAAGTGTATAATTTCATCACCTTTAAAAATGTTGATTTGAACAAAGATTAAAAAGTCAAATAAGGTTTTCCAATCATAAAAATATAGGGTTGTTATATTTGCCACATAATCTGTATACTGCCAAACTATTCTGGTGCCATTTAACATGGAATACAATTTAAATTGTGCCCTCCTTGAGTTGTCCACCCCCTAAGCCTTGTACAAATAATAGAAAACATAATAGGTGGTCTACTACAATTGTAAGTATTTGAATCCTGTAGATGAAATTCCAGAAAGTTATTTAACAAATGGCTTTTGATAATTATGTCTTGTTAATCAATGACTGATAAAAAATGATTAACTAGGAAGAGCAGACTTACATTTCTTAAAACATAACCCTTCACCTAAAATAACTAAATTATATCTTATAATCCAAATCAGTTCTTTTAAATATATCATATATATATATGATAGATAAGTATTTATAAAATATAATACATTTATATTCCTATAAGTATAAAGCTATGTAGCATTTAGGAAATTTGAATTCCAGAGGTTATGTCTTTTACTAATTCCAGCTTGTAATCTCAAGAAAAATTTTCAAGTCTTTTATGGAAAGTCTGAAAACAATATAACAAAAAAATGTGATCACATGATATGAATATGAATACAAGATAATTTATTTTTGTTACTTTTACCTTATTACTGTATCCTTGTTTTTTATGCTTGACTCCTATAGCGTAGAGTACTAGTATCAAATCTGGTGGGCAATCAGCAAAGTAGGCTGTGCACGTAACTGGTGACTCATGTATGTCCATGGAATATGGATTTTCAAAGATTGGAAAGCTAATAGATAAACACAATATATTAAGTGCATTTTTCAATGACAAAAATTAAAATAACTTTTATAAAACACACTAAAATATTCTATATTTTAATTATGTATTTCACTTAATTATTTTTTAAGCATCTCAAAATAAGAATCATATAATAACAATGATTTTTAAGTACTTATCCATAAAATGAAATATAAATATTGGTATAATTTTACTTGAATAATGAATTTGCTTTCATAATTCAAAAATTCCACAGTAATATTATTTTTATCTGAATATTTTTATAACATAATTATTAGTATGAAAATATCTTCTTAGTAAGTTTTTCATGTTCTTCAAAGGAGGTAATATTTAAGTGAGTTTTTGTTTTTGTATTTTTTTTCAAGAGTAATTGAAAGCTATGCATGATTATAGCATGTTTAAGATAATTTCCTATGCAAACTAGAGAAAATAGTGATAATGCAGACTTATGGATTCAGTAAATTTTATATCCTCAAGTCTACTATAATTTTAAAGGGCATATAAGTTTAATAGGACCAAATTAATAATTCTTATAGCCACAATATATTGTGCAGCTCTTATGTACCAGATGTACCAGGCACTGCAGTAGAAGGAACCAAATATTATTCTACGTTCCATCTATTCCAGGTTTGTGTAATCATGTTAGTTCTGATATAATGTGTATTTGGGGGGGCTATTAAAAATAATTTCCCAGTCCTAGTTGGATAGAGCATCAGACTGTGGAGTGAAGGGTCCCAGGTTCAATTCTGGCCAAGGGCACATGCCCAGGTTGCGGGCTTGATCCCCAGTAGGGGGCATGCAGGAGGCAATAAATCAATGATTCTTTCTCATAATTGATGTTTCTATCTCTCTTCCTTCCTCTCTGAAATCAATGAAAATATATTTAAAAATAAAAATAATTTCCTCCCCTCACTGTTAAGAACTTAATAAATAACTTAGTTCAACCTTCAGAGAATGTAGTGTGTGTGTGTGTGTGTGTGTACTTGCTACAGAAAGGAATAGCAGTATATGCAAAATCAGGTGAGAAGAAACAAGCTGCATTAAAAAAATGGCAAGTAGGTTAAACTGCATGGATCAGCGATCCCCCCTTTCAGAATAGAATTTATCAATATTTCTTAGATGGAAGAACTGAAATTAACTAAATGGATCACCTTAGAGATCTACAACTTGGCATCTGATAATAGTAAGTGGTTGTAATGATAGACTTCTGACAAGGTGAACAATATTGTAAAAATGTTTGCATTAAATATTTTAGTATATTGGTAAAGAGCATAGAAAAAGATATTTAAGAAAGAAATAACAACTAAATATGTATTATAGGAATTTAGATTTAAAAGTGTAAATTGGTTGCTGTGGAAATGTAAACAAAGCTACAAATCCAAGAAACCAAGAAAAGAAAAAAATTTGTAAGCCCTAATGTTTGCTTTTATATAGAAGATTAAATATGGGGATGGAAGGAAGGAAGGAAGAAACGAAGAAAGGAAGGAGCTCAGAAATTCCAACCAAGATGGCAGAGAAGATGGAAGCTGCACTCATGTCCTCCCATTACCACCTATAATAACTAAACTATAGCATAATCAACCTGAATTACCATTTGAAAATTAGGAGAACTTAAGTCATATAAGATATATAAAAGATGACACATAGAGACTGGTAGAAGGGGAGGAGACACAAAATGAACCAACCTGCTCCTACATGTAGCAATTGAGGATCCAGACTCGCACATGTGTCAAACACAAGGCCCGCGGGCCAAATCCGTCCCGCCAGGCCTTGCAATGTAACCCGTACCGCGCTGTCATCACTGCACTCCGCTGCGTTTCCATCACAATGACAGTTTATGACTGTTCAGTAAACCATTCGGCCCGCGATTTAGGCTGGATTTTAGATTTTGGCCCCTTCTCTGATTGAGTTCGACACCCCTAATCCAGAGGGATATGTCCCCTGAGGAATGAGGAGTTTCAGTCCCCCACCAGGCTACCCAGGCTGGGAGTGCAAATCAGCCAGGTTCCCATCCCCCACAAGTACTCACAACAGGATAGATGGATAGAAGTTATTTATTATGATAAGTGAAACTAGTCATACAGAGAAAGACAAAAACCATATGACTGCTCTCATAAGTGGAATCTAAAGAAAAAAAAACACACAAACAAAACAGAAACATATTCCTAGATACAGAGAACAAAATGTTGATTGACAGATGGAAAGGGATTAAGGGATGGGTTAAAACAGTGAAGGGATTTAGTACAAACTGGTAGTTATAAAATAGTGATAAGGATGTAAAATTCAGTATAGGAAATATAGTTATTAATATTATAATAATCATGTATGGTATAATGTGTACTAGAAATATTGGAGGGAACATTTTGTAAAGTATATGATTATCTAATAACTATGCTGTACACTAAAAATAATACAAATGCTATTGAAAGTAAAATGTAACTGAAAAATTAAACTCGTAAAATATATTTAATTAAAAAAAATAGTGTGGAATTAAAAAAAGAAAAAAGTGGTGTCTCGGTTTCTAGTAAAGATGGTGAAGTATGTAAATAAAGCATTCACCTCCTCTCATGACCACATCAAAATTACAACTAAACTACAGAACAACCCATCATGGAGACCCACCTGAAGTCTAACTGAACAGAAGTCCTATAATTAAGGATATAAAAAAGAAGCCACGTTGAGTCTGGTATTAGGGAAGAAGAAGTGGAAAGGACTGGCCCCACACCTATATGTGGCAGTTCAAAATCAGCAGGAATATCTGGGCTCAAAGATCCTCCCTTGGAAGCAGGAAGTCCAAACTCACCATCAGGCTCCCCAGCCCAGGGTTCCACAACCAGGAAGAGAAGCCCCCATAACTTCCAGCTCTGAAAACCACCAGAGATTGTGGCTGAGTGAGTTAGAGGGCCCCTGGAGTCACAGGCATTCTTCTTACAGGACCTAAACACAAACTTATTGTTGATGGATTCAATTACTCTGAGCTCCAGCAGTGCAAGGACAACTCAAAAGATGCCAGGAACATACAGGGAGGAATTGAATTGTCTTGCTTCAGGGCAAGAGCTAGAGTGGAAACTTTTTTCCCCAGATAAAAGTACTGACAGAAGCCATTGCTTCTTTTCTAAGTTCTTCCCATGTGGATGCAGCTGGGCACCATATATGAATCTCCTTCAACCTGGCTAATACTGCCCCTACCTTACTGATTCCATTAGATATACAGCACCCAACTTCTGAACCCATCCAAATAACTTCCAGTGACTTTTCCATACAAATGGCCTATAGCAACTCATGCTGTGGAATTTCCTAAAATCTCTCAAAGGTTCACAATCCCAAACAAGCATCATATGCCCTTTAGGTGCTCTGTACCTTTTGCTTAGCAGTCCCAAGCTCACCACTAGCGACAGCTTGCCTCATTTCACACTTTAGCCTCTCCCAGGCACTTTCAAGTCCAGCACAAGTGGCATCCACCTGCAGATCATTTTGAAGATAATATCAAGTGGCCCTGGGTATGGCACAGGCAGCAGACCTTGGCCTGCATTTTCCAAGAGTCCATAGGAGCAATACACCAAGTGACCAGCTTCAAACCACCCAACCACTTCCACAAATGATATACTCAAAGGAAAGACTGAGCAGCAAAGCAAATTTTACTCCATAGGGTAAGCCTCTGTGTGACATCTTCTCTAGTGTAGTCACAGCCAGTCTTCACAATCAATCAATCACAAAGGTCAATCCTTACCATTGATGTGCCAACTGTAATCAAGGCTCAACTATAACAGGACACACACAACCCAAATAAGGGTATACTCCTGGAACACTGACTCAGGTAAACTATGCCACTACACCCCATAGGATACCTACTACATAAGGCCACTCTACAAAGACTGGTAAGTGTAGCAGCTCTACTTAATACATAGAAACAAATACAGAGAGGCAGCCAAAATAGGGAAACAAAGAAACATGTCCCAAGTGAAAGAACAGAACAAAACTCAAAAAAAAAAAAAAAAAAAAAAAAAAAAAAAAAACAAAAAAAAAAAAAAAAAAAAAAAAAAAAAAAAAAAAAAAAAGAACTATACCCAATGGAGAAGAGAAAGCTGTAAGATTCAGAGTTCAAAATACTGGTTATAAGGATGCTCAAAGATCTCAGTGAAAACTTCAACAAAGATAAAGGAAACATAAAAATGGAAAAAGAAAACATAAAAAGTACCAGTCATAAATGAAGAATACATTGGAGGGAATCCACAGATTAGATGAAGCAGAGAATTGAACCTACAATTTAGAAAATAAAGTAACAGAAAACACCAAATCAGAACAGCAAAAAGAATAAAGAATACAAAGTAGCAACTGTTACCACAGAAAAACAAAGAATTGCAAGAAAATACTACAATTATATGTCAGCAAATTAGATAATCTGAAAGAAATGAAGAAATTTCTAGAAACATTCAATCTTCCAAATTAAAACAAGAAATAAAAAGAAATTAAAAAAAAACTCCCAACAAACAAAAATCCTGGAATTAATATCTATTTTTCTCAAAATATTTGAAAGATGCTCATTATAAAGCCATCATTATCCTAATTTCAAAACCAAACAGACATAACAAAAAAGAGAAATTAATATTTCTGATGAGCATAGATGTAAAAATTATCAACAAAATATTAAACCAAATTCAGCAATACATTAAAAAGTTCATACATCATTTATTCCAGGGAAGCAAGATTAGTTCAATACCCATAAATCAATTAACATTATATAACACATAAACAAACTGAACAATAAAAATCATGTTATCATATCAATACATGCAGAAAAACATTTGACAAAATTCAGCGTCCATTTATGATTAAACAAAAACTCTCAGCCAAGTGGGAATAGAGGAAACATACCTCAACATAATGGAGGCAATATATGTCAAACCCTCAGCCAACATCATTTTCAACAGGGAAAAGCTAAAAGTATTTTCCTTAAGTTCAGAAACAAGACAAGGTTGTTCCCTTTCA